GAGGGTGTGGGCAGGGTCCTTTTAAAAGGGAACATAGTGAATGTGCACAGGTGGTGTTCTTAGTGGCTGCAGCTGAGGTTGTACCCTGTCAGAACCCCAAGGACAGGCCAGCACAGATGCCTGAATACTAACAGCAGGAACCTGGAGGCAGGAGCTGGTGCAAAAGCCACGGAGGGGTACTGCTTACTGGCTTGCTCCCCATGGCTTGTTCAGTCTGCTTTCTTATAGAACCCAGGACCACCAGTCCAGAGATGGCCCCATCCACAATGAGTTGGGCTCTCTATCAGTCACAAATTAAGAAAATGCCCCACAGGCTTGCCTACAGCCTGATCATCTGGAGCCATTTTCTTAACTGAGGTTCTGTCCTCTCAGATGACTCTAGCCTGTGTCAAGTTCAGCATGGGGATGGTGGGAATGAATATTCTTAACAGTATTATAGCCCCACAAATGCATTTCTTCTTCTTTTCTTCCCCTTTACAGGTCTCTCTGTGGAGTCCTGACTGGCTTCAACTCCACATTCCTGCCCCTGCCTCCAGAGTGTTGTGATTACAGGCATGGGTCACCTGGGATTTCAGATCTTTTAGAGTAGAATTTAGTTATTCCTGATGCCTACACGTATCCTCTACCATGGAAAATGGAGAACCCAGTGGTCAGTGTGAAGCTCTTGTCTTTCCCTTTGCTGTCTGGAAGCTAGAAGAACATATGTCCACCTAGAACTTCCGTCAAGTCCTTTGGGCCTAAGCTTCTTGACATTTTTTAACATTACAAGATTCTACTCTTCAACCAGGGTCAATATATTTGAAATAGAATTCCTTACCCCTCCCCCCCCCCAGGGGAAAAAAAAAACAGAACTGTCGGAGTGGGACTTGTCGCTGTGTCTGACTTACATCTAAGCAAATCCTCTCCCTAGAAAGCATCTATAGTGAAGTGGAGGCTGTAACAAAGGTCTATGGCAGAAGGACGGACATGGGGTGCTTGTCCTTGGCTTTTCCCTTCTTGTTGGCTCAGTAGGTCTGTCTCTTAGTTTGCAGTCTACTGATGTGATAAAGCATCATTACCAAAGGCTACTTAGGGAGGGAGGGGCTGATCAACTCACGCGTCTATCACAGTCCATCCCTGAGGCATAGGCCTTGGAGGCAGGAACTGATACAGAAGCCATGGAGGAATACTGCTCACTGGCTTGCTAAGCCTTTCTTGTCTTTCTTGGTTGTGAGCCTAGCCCTTTGTGGCCAAGCCATCTCTGCAGCCCTCAGCCTGCTTTCTTACACAATTCAGGTGCCATCGGATGGCACCTCCCATACTGAGATAGGCCCGCCCATCTCAATCATTAATCAAGAAATTGCCCCACAGACTTGCCTACTGGTTCCCGCTCCCCAGGTGACTCCAGCTTGTGTCAGGATGACAAAAAAACTGACCACGACAATAAGATCTATCAAGGACACAGTGATAACTTTTGAAGTAGTTAGGTTTTTCAATTTTCTATCAAGCAGTTAAGGGACAGAATGCTCCCTTCTTGTCATAGTCTCTAGTACCAAGCCACTGTGAAGAACCCCATCATGCATTTTTCTTCCCGGTGTAGTAAAGGTTGAACCTAACGGATATCTTGTTATCCCACCTTCCTATGCTCCCTGATTCTTCTGTAAATTTGAAGTTTTGGGACCCCGGAAGGGACGATTTAACCATATCTAATTTTCACTCTTTCCCTTCACCCCCCCCCACACACACACCAAGTTGTGAGAAACAGCAATCCAACAGCTTGTCTCCCCTACCCCAGACAATTCAGAGGCTGGAGAACAGCATCTTCATAGTTTTCTTCTTTTAGTTCCTCCCCTATGGAAGTAACAGTTGTCAGAAAAGCCCCATGTTGGAAATAATACAACTGCCTATCAACTGACAAACGGGTGGCCCAAATTCAGTATTCATGAAAAGGAAAGTAATAATGCATGTAAAAATATTACAGCACACCCATGATTCCATTAATACATAATGCCCACAGAAGGCAAATGATAAAGATTAGCAGATTAGGATCAGCATAACTGGGCATCAGAATAGCATTAACCACAAATGGACAAGAACTTTTGGGAAAGACATGGAAATGGTTTCCAACTATGTTTAGTGGTGGTTAAATATGTTTTGGTATATAAATCACTTCTTTTGCTGTTATTCTGAGGCAAGTTCTCTCAGAGACCCAAGCTGCCCTGGAAGTCACCACATAGTTGAGGCTGACCTTGAACCCTTGATTTTCCTGCCTTTATCTCCTTAGTGCTGGGATAACATGCATGCATTATCAGGTCCAGCCTGGTGTGTAAATTATATTTCAACAAAGTTTCTGGGGGAAAAGGCTTACCAATGAAATATGTCCACCTTACTTGGACTAGTGGAAATTTATCAAACTGATGAAAAATATATTCACAGGGTTTTTTTTTCATACTATTCCACAAACTTAGCACTCTTCTGGGCCCCATCTGAAGGCTAAAAACCATTAGGATCTGCTAACTCAAGTTGGACCCAGAGTAAAAAAACACTTGGAGTGTATGAATAGCCCAAAGCCCACACCTCGTGGGTTTGGAAGGAGAGTAACATGGAACCCTCGTCTCCCATTAAAGAGAACAAAGTGGCCTTCCATTCTCCCAGTTACTTGGACAGCATGTCTGTCTTGGGAATTTTCTCCATGGACAAGGCCCTTTATCAGCCATATCCCTATGCACTTTAGGAAACTGGACCAATTCTCCCTGCTCCTACTGGAGAACACTGGGCTGTTGTCACAAAATGTGCCTGTCACTAATCTTCACTAAGTGACTCCGGATATGTTAATAAGTCCACAAAGCACAACGCACCAGGCTGTCAGAGTGGCTAATGGGTTAGGGAAAATTGTCTGGACCTGATTTTTCTTACAGCAACTTCATAGCCTTCAAAATACATAGGCCCTTTCTCCATGGAGGTTCAAAAAGGGAAGGAGACTCTCAATGGAGCTCAGGTGGCACCCCCATCTCCCATGAACCTGGGGGTCTGCACCTGTCACCACTGTTCATCCCCCCATCCATCTGAGAGGGGCAGAGAACTGTCAGTTCCAGTGATGTTGCTTCCTTGGTCTGAGCAAGATTACTGGGGGCATTCTAGGTTTGCTCAAGTGAAGGGGGAGGCTATCTACCATTCAAAAAGCATTTAATCCCACCAGAACAGACACAGCCAAAGCACCAGTTGCTTGTTGGCTGAGCCCTGCCTGTCTGCCCTTTCCCACTGGATATAGGCAGTAGTGGAGGCAAAGGCACGATTACCAATGGGCTACCACTCGCTCAACACAAATTGGGGTCCCTTCATGTTGTCTAATCAGCCAGGGACAATGAAATATACCTTAGAAGTATAAAATGATCCTCTAGGACAAGGGGTGGGGCTGTGCAAACACAAGCGAGAATGGGGCAGGCGGCTCATTTTTTAGAAGCCCAATGCTTACAGAATGCTTCTCCAATGAGAAAGTGGCACAGCAAAGTCAAAATACCATCGATTTTTTATTATTATTCTTTTTCTATCTCAGTTTCAGTAAAAAGAGTCAGAAAACTGATTGACACACATCATAAACTTTCACCCATGTACAGAATATATACAATGATGCTACCATTTCCTTTTCATTGAACTAGGTATCATTACCTTTGTTCAAACCAAAGTGCAAATGAGGAGAGAAGGGTAAATGAAAGGGGATGGTCTTTGATCTCAGATAGTGACTGTATATTTGCCACCATAAGAAGAACAGGAGACACCAAAATTCCAATGATGGGTACCAAACAGCAGCAGATTTCCAGTGTGGTCATCACTGCACTTGAAGACATTCCTAGTCCTCATTTGTCCCCCACATCACTACATTAGCTGAAGCCTTTTCTGGAGCAAATGCAATGCTGATTGGAGTCTGGATCTTCTGCTGATTGTTTGCTAAGATATAGTCCATTTTCATATACATGCTATAAAAGTACGCTAGAAATGTTAATCTTCAGAGCTTTGTTAAAATTAAGAACTTACTTTTTTTCATATGGCATCATGTATACCCAAATCTAAAAGTCTATTTGAGAAAAGATTTTTAATGTAACCCCAATAGTCCTACTAGTTTCATACTTTGTTTAGGAGAATATTGATTTTTAATACGTAATAAGTAATGCTGTCATAATTCTGTCTCACAACACTCACCCATGGAAACGTGGTGGTTCAGGGGAGTGTACACTATCCCATGGAAACATGGTGGGTCAGGGGAATCTACACTATCCTGTGAAAATGTGGTTGGTCAGGGGAGTCTACACTATCCTCAAGCAGTTCTTCCTTGTGCCAACTGCCATGTTTCCAGAGCATGTTCCTATCACAAGGTTTCTCTGTGTTGCTTTGGTGCCTGTGACTCTTTATTGTCAACAGGGAGCAGGGAGTGGGGGACAAACAAAAGCAGGGGATGCTGGAATTAACTCACAGGTGGCCCGACTGAAAAGTAATATCCTGTGGCAGTGCTTTCAGTAGGTTTCATACAGAGCAGGACATGATGCCAGCCCAATGCAGCCCCGGGTCACCTTAGCAGAGACCACACATTCTCGGGACTGAGGGTCTCTTTCTGCTGTGCTCACTAACTCCATACACTGTGTGGGACTAGCACACATGATGGCTGTGCTCACTACATACACTGTGTGGAGCTAGCATACATGATGGCTGAGGCTTATCCTCAGAGCCCAGGGATGTCTATAGCAGGAAGAAAATGTGTGATAACTGAAATTCATTTCTAATTTAGACAAAATATTTACTCTTTTCATTACCAAAATATCCTTTACAGTTTATCTGTTTCTCCCCTCTAACACTGACATGGGAGAACTAGGTGACTTCTGAGTGTGACCAACAACATTTGCTATGTTGAGTATGGCTGTAGAGTGCACACAGCAACAGGAGTTTATGTCAAGGGCTAAGAGGTTACCTCTAGTCTGGTTACAATGCCCAGCCCACCTAAGGAAGGCATGGCATTCATGTGCTTTTCTTCTTAATGGCTATTACTTCTGCTTGATTTTTATTCTTGGACGTTGTGATGTGATGGGAAGAGCAATTACCACCAGGTAGTTGGCCAAGGCCTGGGTCTCTGGGCAGAACTCTCTTCTTTCTTGGGTGAGATGGACAGAGAGCTGGGAGCAGGCCCTGGGCTGCCATGCAGAGCCTCAACTCAGGCAGCCTGCTAGTGCTCCATCTCAGCCATGCCCCTGCCTGGCTCCCTGGGAATCCTGGAAATCAGTTCACAGGGAACAAAGCAAAGCAGAAGCTACCACCAAGCCACCAAATGACTGTTCCTGCAGCCTCCAAGGACCCACTTCTGTGTCTCTTGGGAAGTTGGTTATGTTTTCAAAAAGTTTCATTAGAAGTGGATTCTGACACCTGCTTTTAACAAATCAATAACGGCACAGGTTTCAGCCTCTAAGCTCCGAATTTTGAAACTACTTAAAATCGGGACATTTCCACTCAGCAGACTATTGTGTCTCTGACAGTTAGGAAGTCCCGCCTGAAGAGAGCCCAAGAGTGGAGCACCTGCCTGGTGTATGCAAGACCCTGGGTTCCATCCCCAGTACCATGAACAAACAAACAAAAAGGAATAAAAAAGGAAAAAGAAAACAGAAAAAAGTGGACAATCATGCTTTTTCTTTCTTTTTTTAATCTAACTCAGCCCTTCAGAAATACTTGAGTCTATAAGAGGAGGAAGCCCCAGAGACCTGGCTCCCCAGGTGCCTGCAGCAAGCAACTGGCTACAGAGAGGCAGTTCCCAGTGCAAAGGTCAAGGTTTGTGCAAAAGGTCACACTGCCAGGCACAATCCTAAGAGGGTCTCAGTTTATAGTGTTTGACTCTCTAAAACACAAGTCTCCTAAATCACGGAACCCAGCAAGTGAGGGCAGAGATGTTAACATCGGAAAATACATCTTAGAAAAGTATAGGATCTTTCCCAGGTGGGCGGCTGCTATGCATTCATCACTTAGATCATGTTTGTTAAATATTCACAGTAATTTCAGAGAAAGAAACATTCATATCTGCAAAACCTCCATCTATCATGCTTTTAGCCCTATGCCAGCTCAGTGGAAGACTTCGGAGCAGTTCTGTGAGCTCCTCCTTGGCAGTCCATCCTTTCAGTGCAGCTACACCTTCAAGGTGGGCTGCAGGATTCCTTTCTCAATGAGATGAGTCTTCAGGGTTTTGTAGATGTTTAACTGCTGTTCTGGTTGAAGCACCAACAGCTGTTGGAGGACTTTGCTGGGATTCGGACCCCTGATGAGGAAACAGAGAAGACAGGGGTCACACTTTTTGCATGAGGGCTCCTGAGAATCCTGTCTTCAGCGCTACAGAACTGAAACAGCTCTCCACAAGATCCCTGTGAGTGCCCAGCCCTTGTGTCCAAGGCAGAAGAGGGCTAGAATGACTGTGCCTGAAGATGCAGGAGGGTGGGCATGGAGGGAACAGCAGGCACAGACCAGAGATCTAAGGGCAACTTGACAAAGAACAAGCCCTCAGGCCAGGAGACATAGAACAAACTGCAAAGAGGGCACAAAAAGAAATTTAAAATTTTTAGGCTCATAGAGACTTCTAGACCATGTAAGGTGCTTTGTTGAATAAATACCCTCAGGGGACTATGATCATTAATCTGAGAGACAAAACACTAAACTCCTGCACCAAAACTCCTACCCAGGATGCACCATGGTGTCCATTCCTTCTTCAAAGTCCCAGGGAAACGCCAAGAAGCAAAGAGCATGAAGGGCTCCTCTGCTCTTTGAACAGAGGCCAAGGACAACCCTGGCCTCTTGCTCATCCACCACAGTAGTCCACAGGAGGACAGGGCCCAGGGAACAGCTGTGTACCTCTGAGCCATGACCCAGTCCAGCACCCTTCTCTCTTTGACCCCGCCCACCACCCCTCTCTCCTTGGCCTCATTCTTCCAAGACTCTTGCTCCAGCCTTTCATGTACAATCCAGCTAAATGACAAGGAGCTCAGAGGAACTTCAGGCAGGGGTCCTTCCCTCACACCCTGGCTTCTGGTAACCCTGCTGCAGCCATGGGAATGCAATTTCCGAGGCCTGGCCTGGAAAGCTCAACACATGTATACATCCTTTATGTACATTTCTAAAACAATGGTCTTTGATATAAGACAGACATAGTAGCTTACACCTGTAAGCTCAGTATTGGCCATGCTGAGGCAAAAGGATTACCATGAGTTGGAAGCCAGGGTAGATGAGTTCCAGGTCAGTCTGGTCTAAAAAAAAAAAAAATTTTTACAAAAAAAAAAAAAAAAAAAAAAAAAAAAACCAACAAAGCCCCCAAAATATGTTATATTTTATAATTATTGTTATTAAATCTTCCCGAATGCACGTGGAGGGGGGAGGGTTACAATGAACAATGAACAATGGTGGAATCTAATTGGAAAATCCCACAAGCAAAATATGTAGGACAGCCCAGAATTCTGAGATACACATTAAAAACAAGTAAGTAAATGATTTATAACACAGTTTTTAAAAACAGAATTGTAAGAAATGGAAATCCTAGGGACAAGGAAATATCTTCTATAGAATTATCACAATGGGGATGGATAGAGGCACAATTTATTCTGAAAAAATCTTTGACTTAAAACCATAGCTGCATACAGCACAGCACTATTCTATGGGTTAACTTCATGTCTCAAGGAAAACTGGCAGAAACCTGTGGCCATGTGCCCCTCACAGCCAAACTCCACTCAAATTACAGTCCAGCTTGTCTTGTTACATTCCATGGCATAACCTGGAGCAGCCGCCCACAGAGAAAGGAGTCATCCCAGCAAATTCAGCTAAATGGAAAGTGATGTCAGCAGGTGTTTCCTGAGAGCTGGATCCAGGACATCACTGCCTTCCAAATAGAACAAGGATCTGCTTTCAGAGGGCAGGCACATGGCTCAGCATGACTTTACCGCTGAGAGAGCACAAGATGAATTCTTTTTTGAACAAACAATGTGAATCAATGCCTTAAAATACTGCCATCTTCTGAAAAATAAAGCTTTTGATGTTTGCCTTTTGGTTTTATTTTTAGGGACTTAACCAGGAATTACTAATGCCAAACTCTATCAACAAGGAAATGCCATACAAAAAGACAAAGTCGGTTGATGGGGTCATAAAGAAATAAAACAACCAGAAAAGAAAAACACTGTTGGAAATGGCACAAGGGAATGCCAAAAAAAGACAGAGGAATAACATGCTAGCATTAATCAACTGGGAGCCACTGCTGCAGCCTCCTAACATTCAATGGAGCAGGCAGCCAGACAAGCTGCAAAAGATGCTGATATGGTGACCAAGTGAGGGATTCCAAAGAAACACCAATGCCATGTCTCTGTATTTCAATACAACCTCAAAAGAAGTGACTTAAAACTACCAAAGTAGGGAAAACAATGATTTGTGATCATGCCAGGAGACCCCACAGTGCTCTGTTTGGATAGAACAAGCACTCACAACTCAAATGACAGTACTCAGCCCTTAGCAGCACTGCACCCCACACAATATTACATCTAAAAATTCCAAGGTGGACACCTGCTCCTGTGTGGATGCAACATGTACCAGAAAAGATGATGTGCTGGGCCATAAAGCAAGGTTCAAGAATTAGGTTCTTTCAACTTCACTTAAACTATGGCAAATACCAATAAAGAAAGAACAAGACAGTCTTGATTTGTTTGGAAATCAATCAATATACTTCTAAATAACCCAAGTCTCAAGGGACAGTGATACAGGAAATTGAAAAATATTTGCCATTGACTGGTAAAAATGAGCACACTGAAATATAGAGGATGAGAAACAAGTATTGTTAAAGAGGGAGTATGCAGCCTCACATAAGAAGGCTAAAAATCAACAACCCAGGCTTTATCTTCAAAAGCTAGCTAAACCTCACACACTTATAGTGAGAGACTTCAGCACCCCACGCTCACCACTAGACAGAACCACCAGACAGAAACTTAAGAAACAAAACAACTAACAGAAGTTATGACCCAATTGGGTTTAACAGACATCTACAGAACATTCCATCCAAACACAAAAGAATATACCCTCTTTTCAGCGCCACATGGACCCTTCTCTAAAATCAACCACATACTCGGCAACAGAGCAAACCGCAACAGATAAAAAAAATTGGAATAACTCTCTGTATCTTATCAGACCACTATGCTTTAAAGTTAGAATTCAACAACAACACAAATTGCAGAAACCCTAGAAACTCATGGAAATTGAACAATTCACATTTGCACCATTCCTGGATCAAGGAAGAACTAAAGTAAGAACATAAAGACTTCCTAGAATTCAATGAGAATGTGGACACAACATACCCAAACTTATGGGACACTTTGAAAGCAGTACTAAGAGGAAAGTTCATAATGCTAAGTGCCCACATGAAGAAACTGGAGAATAGTCACACTGGAGAATTAACAGCACAACTGAAAGCTCTAGAACAAAAAGAAGCAAACTCACCAGGGAGGAATAGACCCCAGGAAATAATCAAATTGATGACTGAAATCAATAAAGTAGAAACAAAGAACCAATGTAACAAGAAAATCAACAAGATTAAAAAACAAAACAAACAAACAAACAAACAAAAAAAACCCATTACCCAAACTAATCAAAAGGCAAGGAGAGAAATCAGAAATGAAAAGGGGGACAAAACAACAGACACTGAGGAAACCCAGAGAATCTTCAGGTCATAATTTGAAAACCTGTACTCCACAAAATTTCAAAATTTACAGGAAATGAACAATTTTCTGGACAGATATCACTTACCAAAATTAAATCAAGAACAGCGAGGCAATTTAAACAGACCTATAACCCCTAATGAAATAGAAGCAGTCATCAAAAGTCTCCCAACCAAAAAAAGCCCAGGGCCAGATGGCTTCACTGTAGAATTCTACCAAAAATTCAAAGAAGAACTAATACCAACACTCCTCAAATTGTTCCACACAGTAGAAGCAGAAGTGT